CTAGATCTTTTAAAGAGAGTTAACTTGAAATTTGAATTTCTTTTTTGGTACTGAGGATTGAACTCTGGGGCACTTGACCACTGAGCCATATCCCAATCCTATGTGGAGTGTCTCCTGTTTCAATATTACTTAATAGTTAGCATTGTATAGCAAGCTGTATTTTAAATATTTGGATTAACTAGTTGAATCCTCATATCAGCCCTATGAGATAGCTACTATTATCTTTTTCATTTTACACATGGGGAAGCAGAAACAGGTTTCATTACTTGCCTAAGGTGATACAGTTAGGAAGTGATCGGCCTGGGATTCAATCCAGGCACTTTGAGTCTAAAATTTATGCTCTTCAACTGTTAACACAGTAGTAAAAATTGATGTCTCTCTTGTTTTTGTTTACTCTGTCCATCATCATTAATATTTTACATGTTTTATTTTTCACCCTCTACTGGTGATTGAACCTAGAGCCTCACACATGCTAGGCAAGAACTCTACCATTAAACTACATCCCTAGCCCTAGTATTTTACATTTTAATAGCTTTTATGAGACTTAGTATAGATTTAGTGTACATAAAACAGTTTTTAATAGCCATATCTTTTACATAATCTAAGACATTGCATACAAGTGATTGCATTGTACTTTGGACATTGCCCCAGTCTTTCATATTGAGTGTTTATTAATGTTAATAATAGCCATCTTTAGTTAGCCTATTGAAATCTCCCAAAAATTTGGCAGGTGACTTTCAAACATAGTAAAACCCTGAAGTGTTGCTGCATTGTATAATTTTTAAGATTCTACTCACTATGTTTGTTTACTTTCTTTTTCTGTTTTTCCTAATTGAGTTTTAGTGCTGCCTAATACAATAGCCACCAACCACCCATGGCTATTTAATTTAATCAGGAAAAGAAACATTAAAAATGCAGTTCTTTGGTACCACTAGCTACAGTTTGAGTACTTAGTAGTGCTTTGTGGCTAGTGATTAGCTGAATGTTCTGTTGGGCAGCACTTTTTCTAGGGTAAAAACAGATTTTAAGCCATGCCCCAAAATACAGAGATGGTGTTAATTAAATTGAATAGATACTTTGTGGGTAGATTATGTATTTTCAGGATGCCCTAAAGTTAAGTTTGTCAAAGTACTCAGTATGTGTTTGCTTATTAATATCAGCAATTAATTAAGAAGAGGGAATTTATAACTTTTCATTAAGGAAATTATGCTCTTAGAGTATGTTTAATATCTGTACATAACACAAGTTTTAAAATCATTCATCTACAATTAAGAAGTTAACTTCTCAGTGCAAAAGAAGAGGTTCAACTGAGATTATAATGAAAAACAATTTTAATACTTTAACATATAAAAATAGCAAAAATTTCCTAATGATGGTTTGATTAGGGTCAATAGGCTTATTGTTGTGAATGCTCCAATTTGGTATTTATTCTTAGATTTTTTTTTTTTTTTGAAGCTTATAAATAGACCATAGGCATGAGAGCTTTCCACCTGGATTTAATGTTAAATATTTTTATAAACATCTAGATAAATAACTTAAATACACACACACCCATGACATTGCACTGTTTAATAAATACCTTACTCTTGATTGTAAACCTATCATTCCAAAACTATCACATTAAATTTTGGCATTATTCTTCACAAAAAAGCAAGTTTGATTATATTAAGCCTTTACTTTTTGTGTTTTTCTTCTCTATGTGTGTGTTCACATGTGTATTCATGTACAGAGCAAGATTTGAGCTTCTTTGTTCTCCTCTTTTTAATAAATGTATAGAAGCAATACGAGAACTCTTAGATCAAAGTGGATTTACAGCAGATGATATCAACAAGGTAATGCATTTATGTTTTATTTTAGGAATAGTTTCAGATTTAAAATTTAGAAAATAGCTCTTGGGGGGAAAAATAGCTCTTGGTACAGAAAAGTATTTTTATGCTTGTACTTTCAGAGTTTTTGTTAACGAATAAGTAAGCTTTGTTGAACTTAGATTAATGACTCTGGTGATCTCTAATTATGGAGATAGATTATATATATCCATATATATATGTGTGTGTGTGTATATATATATATATATATATTTTTTTCTTCCCTTCCAGTTTCCCAGAAAGGAATAATTCCTTTCTAGTATAGTTTTTTTTTGAAAGCATGCTATATGCCTGGCACTGTTTTTAAGTACTTTACATACATTTACTTGTTGATTACTTACCAACAACTCTGTGAGGTAGGCACTGTTATATATCCCCATTTTATAAGTGGAGGCACTGAGGTACAGAAATTGAGTGACTTGCTGATGCAGTTAGTAATAGTAGAGCCAAGATTTATCATTCCTGAGCCTGCCCTTAAATTGTATACCATATCACATCTGTTTATTTGCTTAGGAAAGAATTTTGATATTTTTAAAAACGTTCAGATTGTTTAGTTTTTATTCCTTCCCCCAGATTATTTCTGTCCTTTGATAATTTTTTATAAACTTAAAATGTTTTTTAATGATTTCATTATTAAAGTAATTATTATTCATATAAGAAAATTCAGAAAATACCAAAGTCCAACCCATATTATATTACAAAATATTTAGAATTTGAATACATAGGTTTGTTTGCTAGCCGTGGTTTTTTGAATAATAGTTCAAATTTTATACGCACAAAATTTTTGAATGTCAGTTTTTTTTCCTATAATGCAGTCAGTTTCTTTCTCCATATGCCTGTATAATTCTCATAAACACATTTTGAAAAAGGTTGTTAATATCCTAAGAAAGGAAAGACACCATGAATTGTCTTACTGTTCTTTTGTGGACACGTAGGTTGTGACTTTTCCTCCCCTGTGACAGAATGATGCCTTTGGACACAGGCCTTTACCATGTTTAATATTATCTCTTCCAGTAGATTCATACAATAAAATTACTGGGTCAAAAGTATAATTAATTTAAGACTATTTTTACCTCAAGTTACTTTCTAAGAGAATTGAATTAACTATTCATGCAACACTATAACCTTGCTGACACTAAACTTTATCATTTAAAGATAAATTTCCAGTTGCTTGTTGAAACAAAAAAGGTATTTATTTTGTTGATTACTAGATTATTATTATTATTATTATTTTGAGTACCAGAGATTGAATTTAGGGGCCCTCGACCACTGAGCCACATCCTCAGCCCTATTTTGTATTTTATCTAGAAACAGGAGCTCACTGAATTGCTTAGTGCCTCACTTTTGCTGAGGCTGGCTTTGAACTTGAAATCCTCCTGCCTGAGCCTCTGGGATTACAGGTGTATATTACTGCGCCCAGTTGATTGCTAGATGAGCTTTTAAATGTTTATTTGATTTTGTATCTCCTTGTGTGTAAAATTCATTTTATATTCTTCATCTAATTTAATTTAAATCACAATACTTTTAAAAACATTGGGTGGATATTTTATATAGTCAGAGTTTTAGCTATCATTTACTATAATCTTCTTTTGAGACATGTTCCTTGCTGTTCTATTTTGACTCTGTCATGGAAAAGAACATTTGAAATACAGAAAAGTTTCATTTGTCAGTTTAAATCTATTGATCTATTACTGATTTCTTCAATTGCTTTGTTTTACTGTATGATAAACAAAAATACTATTTTAACTTGTCTATAGTTTGGAAGTTTTTATATTTTTAGCTTTTTTGCTGTATTCTATATGATGTAAATTTCTAACTGATTTCTGCAAATCAGTTCAATAAGTTTTGGGGACTGTTTTGACACTTGTAATATTCCAAGCATTGTGCTAGCTTAAAGGCTAACGATGGGTGACAGGAGAGGAGCATGACAATAATAGTGTAAGACAGCAATGGAGAAGGTGTGGCCTCACCTGCCTGAATTGGAGTCCTCCAGTTGTGATAATCCTGGACTAGGCAAATCACTTTATTTCCTGAGGCCTTCTTTTCTTCTTTAGAAGTAAGTAGTATAACTTATTGAATAGGATTATTACAAGGAATAAACAATAACATTTATAGTACAGTGTGGGGCATACTGATCAATTAGTGTCAGTTGTCTTTCTAGGACTAAGAACATTGTTAAAGATTCCATCTCCTAAAAACAAGCTTTTGAAAATTTAAAAACATGAAATTGTGTCTTTACTTTGTTTACTTTGCTATAGTAACTAAACAGCCCTCAATTTTCTATGGTTTTCTAGAACAAACTTTTTTTTTTCCTCACTTAGGTTGCATGTTCGCAGTGTGGCAGGTGACTGGAAGTCTGCTGCCATGGTTCTGTTCCCTTTGCTGCTTAATCTCAGCCCTAGGATATAGGAGCAGCTATCTGGGACACAAAATTCTCATGGGAAAGGGCAGGAGGGATAACACTTAAGAACACATTACTATTTTTAATGCTTTTCTTTAGATATGTATGACAGTGCGTTCATATTCAATTCATGGCTAGGCCTGACAGCCAGGCAAGGAAGTATCCCCTACCTACAAAGTCAGGTAATAGGCAGAGATGGATAATCCTCTTACAGCATAGGGGTAATGAGTGATTGAGCTTCACATGCACTAAAACATTTAATCTTCACAAAAGCACCAGGATGTAGGAAATAGTTATTTGCATTTTCAGATGAGAAAACTAAGGTTTCCACAAAGGCTAAGCAGTTAGCTAACAGCTATAAGGCTGGCATTTCAGGACTGGGATTCAGGCAGAGTAGAAGTTGTGTTCTTGATGCTTGTGCCCATTGCCGGCTAGTTTTAGTATTTATAGATGTAGTCTTAGGAACAATTGATTTTTTTCCAGAAGGAATCCTCTGTTCTCTTGCTTCAGAAGAATGGGTTTGATTTCTGGCCTGAGGACAGAGAGCATTAGGGTTCCTTCTTTTTTGAATATGCACCTTCCCTTCTTCCCCATGTTTTTAGCACCTTGTGACTCCCCTGCTAGCTGCTGAACATTTGTTTCTAAGTTCCCATAACTATGGAATAATATGCTGTAGCCACCTTCTGAGTCAAAGAAGAGGTCTTAGGGGTCCAATCACTGCATGTGAAAACAACCCCAGCCCTGTGTTTGATTCTGTGCCTTGCCCTTGGTTTTGGTGGGTACTTTGAGCACCAGTTCATTCTGCAATGCTGAGTCAAACCACCCTGCTTCTCTCAGGTTATTTTCAACTTCATCTGCGTTAAAATAATTACCTCTTCCCTTCCAGCTTCCAAAATTTGTTGAAATCTCTAACTCAAGCTCTTTCTTACTTTGCCCTTCTACTTTTATACCTTCTTACTATCAGATTAGTAGGCTTATGGAAGGTTAAACCCTGCATTTTATGACAAAGCTCCCAGATTCTACAACTGCAATTTTAATAGCTCCATAGGATTTTGTTGCATTGATGTACCATAGTTTAAAAACTAATTCTTTATATTAGCTATGTAGGTTATTTTAGTTTTATATTTTATAAATGGCAGTCTTTGCGACTTTGTGATCATTCTAATTTCCTTGAATTAAAATTTAGCGTAAAATTCCAGATGTTAAGACTTTTAATATTTGTTATCAAATTGCTCACCAAAAAGCAGTTTACTTTTTGAGTAGATGTGAACCTTCATTATTAATTATTATTTTCATTTTTAAATTCTCTGTTTGTACATCTTTATTTTGAAAGTGCTTTAGAATTACTTTTTCAACTTTTTATGTAAAATCTCATTGTGGTACAGTTGCATAAAGTCTGTAAAATAATTTGGGGATAATATAATAACTATACAGTATCTAGTTTGGATTCCTAACCACAAAGTTGATATCCCTTTCTATTCAAATCTTACAAAATATTTTTTTAAACTTTGTGTTTTCTTAATATTTATTATTAAGAAAAGTCTTTTTGTTAAGACTTCTGTGGAATTTATTGGTATTACGAATATGTTTTTTATAATTTTATTTTGTAATTTGTTTTTGCTGATAAATGGGATACCTGTTTGTTTTCTTTACCTTCCATTTTGCCATTTTGTGAACTCTTTGGATTGATGATTTTTAATGAAACCTTCTGAATTTTCTGGGCATACATTCAAATTTATTTACTAATTAATCCACAATATTAAGCATACTTATTTTATGCTAGACAGGTTCTGGACACCTGGGATACAGTAGTAAATGTAACAAAATCATTGCCCTTTTAGAACTGATATTCTACTAAGGATATAAAGTTAATAAATAAACAGCTGAGAAAATAATGACTCCAGTTTTGATAAGTATTACAAAGAAAGATAAAGCAGGATAAGGCCCTACCTAGTGACAAAGTGTATTATTTTCAGGTCAGATTCCCATAACAAGCCATGTGAATGTCTGTCAGTGTCCCAGGCAGAGGAACAGCAGGTTGGGAGCATGCATGGTGGGTTTAAGGAGCAGCAGGAGGTAGTGTGGGTGGAAGAGAATAACTGAACAGGGAGAGTGGGGATTGCTGAACCTGGCAAGGAAGTAGGGAGTACACCACCAGAAGAACCTGGGCAACAGCTTGAAGAGTACATTGTAGTCTGTATTTAGGGAAAGAGGTCTGGGCTTGAGATATGTGTTTGTCAGCACATGCTACTTAGAGCCACCAAGCAGAATGAGATCACCTGCACACCAAGCACAGAACCACTTTAGAGGAGAGACCCCAAGACCAAGCCCCAGGCCTGAGATTAGTTGATAGACAGAAGAGAATCAGTACAGGGGATTTAGGACCAGTCTACTAGGGAAGAATCAGCAAGTAAGGGAGGGAAAGAGCAACTGTTCTGTGCAGGCAGGTGAGACCTGGTGGTTGATTATTGGGCTTGGCAATGTGGGATGACTAAGTACAAGAGCAGTTGTAATAGATCTGTGCAGATAAAAGCCTTCCTAATGTGAGTTTACTATAGAATAGAAGGTATCCTGTGGAGATAATAAGTATTGGAGTCTGTCTTCAGAAACTGCCATTATAAGGGCAGTAGGAACATGTGGTAGGCTACGGGTGTCAGGAAAGGTTGTATCTTTAAGTGATAATGCTTCTCTCTCTCCATTTTGTTGACTTTATTTCTGTTTTATATTTAATCACTGTGATCAGAATGTAAGTACTTTTATTGATACTGGACATACTCCTTTTGTTCTTTTTATTAAGGACATGCTACTAATCTTTTCCAGCAAATATGATTTCTGGTAACCATTTTGAAATGGATTTTCTTTATCTAATGAAGATAGAATTTCCTGGTGAGCATGGTGACACATGCCTGTCAGCCAGGCCAAGGCAGGAGTATCAAAAGTCCGTGGCCAGTCTCAACAACTTATTGAGAACCTGTCTCAAAAAAATAAAAGGGTGTGGGGATGTAGCTTAGGGGTAAAGTACTTTGGAGGTCTATTCCCCATAAGGGTTGGAGGTGGGTGGGAAGGACATTTCCTTTTTTCCTATTTTTAAAAGAATTTTAATATGAAATAGGTATAGAGTTTTTACAAATGTATTTTTGGACACCAAAATACATGGTTTTCTTCCCATTTGTCTTAAAGCTATGCGATGAATTATTAATGATTTTGTAGGGTTGTATTCCTGGGATGGATATTACTTGGTTATGAGGAATTATTTTGTTATTTTAATTTCTGTGATAATTTCTTATTTTCACAAAATTTATGATAAGTTAGCAAAAAAGAATTAGATGACCCATTTTAGAAGTCTATCTTATCCATATTGTCTGAACAAAATGGCCCCTTTTAACATATGGTTCAAAGAATAGTTGTCCTGAGGTGGTGGTGGGGCTCCGCTTTTTAATTACTGTATTCTAAGAAAGTGCTGGAATTGCTCAACTCCTGTGCATGCCCTCACCCCTGGATGAGGAGCTATCAGTGGCTTTTTTTGATCCATCTACTCAACAGTTGGTCCCAAGTCTGCCACATATGGACAGTCAGAGGCATATGGCTGAGCCTCAAGGAGACTGCAACCTGGGCTTGGTCCTTTTCTAATGTTTTCTCTCTTCTACACATATATCGTGATCTGTGCATCAATGTTCAGCCTCTTCTAAGGTCATGACACTATATGCAGAGACTATGCTTCCCTCTTTCTGCTCTCTTTAGAAAAAAAGTCATGAAACCCTCATGATTCAAGTACTTGAACTTACTTAGAATGACAAAATATTATAATATATGATTTTTTTTTTACTCAATACCTCTAAGCCAAAACATCCACACTTTTACTTTTCTTTTTTTCCCCCTTTTTGCATTTTTTTTTTAACTTGAAATTTAAAACATGACCTCTATTATCAGGCAATTGTATTTTTACCCTTTTATACCCAGTTGAGTTGGTAGTTCCTGGCAGTTTTTTTCTTCCTACACCCCAAAACTGAATTCACTTTCATTCCTGAGGCCTATAAAATACTTGAGCTAGTGATGTCTTTCATGTGCATTTTTTTTTATTTTAAGAATAACCAGAATAATCTCTGATAATTGTTATTTTCTTTTTTTTTTGGTACCAGAGCTTGAACCCAGGGCTGTTTTACCACTGAGCTACATCCCCACCTCTTTTTATTTTGAGATAAGTTTCACTAAGTACTTAGGACTTCACTGAGTTAGTAAAGCTGGCCTCAAACTTGTGATCCCACTGCCTCAGCCTCCCAAGTTTATGGAATTATAAGAGTACAGTACTGTGGGGTTTTTTTATCTCTTTGTTTTTTATCTTCCAGTTTTATAATTTCCAATTAGTTAAGTCCTGCCCACCCCACCCCAAAACTCATATGTTGAAGCCTTAGTCCTCAGCTCATCTCCTTTTGGAGATGGTACCTTTAAAGAAGAAGTTAAGGTCATATGTGGTCATGGTGAGGGCCCTATTCCAATGGAATTGTTTGTCCTTTTATGAAGGGACAACCAGAGAGCTGGTTCTTTCTCTTCCTTTCTCTCTCCCTTGGGAAACAAAAATGAAATCATGGTGGCCACAAACAAGCCAAGTGAAATATTCAAAATGAAACCTACCTTGCCTTGATCTTGTACTACGAAATGTCTATTGTTTAAGAGATACAGTCTTTGGTATGCTGTTAAAGGCATTTTGAGCAGAGTAATACAGGCATTTTGATTTTTTTTTTTTTTTTTATTTTTTCCCGGTGGGCACTTTGCGATGAGATTTCCTTGCTTTTTTGGTACCCAGGAGTGTTTAACCACTGAGCCACACCCCCAGCCCTTTTTATTTTTTTCTATTTTATTTTTTTGTTGTTGTAAATGGACATGACACCTTTATTTTATTTATTATTATGTGGTGCTGAGAATCAAACTCAGGGCCTCACATGTGTGTTAGGCAAGCATTGTACCATTGAGCTGCAACTCCAGCCCTTATTTTTTTATTTTGACATAGGGTCTTGCTCAGTTGCTTAGAGCCTTGCTAAGTTGCTGAGGCTGACTCTGAACTTGTGATCCTCCTGCCTCAGTCTCCTAAGCCGCTGAGACAGGGATGTGCCACTATGCCCAGGTTTTTTTTTTTTAAACCTATTTTATTTTATGAAATATTGCAGAAATTGTATTTGAAAAGCCTTTGATAAGAATAGTTAATTATATTTGAAATTCATGTTTTCTATTAAAATTTAAATTTTCAGAAGAAATCTCATATTGTAGACTAAATGCTTAAATAATTTATTTACATTAAAACTTATTGGTTACTGTTAACATTAAGAGTATCACACTTTTCATCCCCCTCCCAAAAAAAAAACCCAAAACCCCAACATTTCCTTGGTCATTTAAAAAAAAAAATTATAGTGCTAACGTTTTGTTAATATAGCTTTTGGATGTTGAATTTGAGAAATTTGCAAAGCCATATTTTTTTATTCTCATGGTATTTACCTGGGATCCTAAAATATCAAGAAGAACTTTTTTCTTTTAACCTACAAAACAGACTTTTTGTGTTTCTTGCCAAGGCAAATGTACTTTTTTTTTTTTTTAATATTTCAGCTGATGTTACTCATCCCTCACCTGAAGATTAATGTGGTATCCCTTATTCTACATGACATGTTAATGAGTCCTAGTTTTCATCAGTTGTTCTTCTCTGCTACACATTGGACTTTGATACCATTAAGACTATAATATAAGAAGTGTTTATTGATGATTTCCCTGCCTGGGTATTCATTCATTCATTCAATATTCCGAATTGGGTTCATAAGTGCTGAATGAGTGGGGAATGTAGGTGATTTATAAGGAACAGTTTTACATTAAGTTCTTCAGAAATAAGAAATCTAATCAGATAGAACTAAGAGCTTAAAATGTAGTTTTGTAAAAATACAAAGCATCTCTTTTTTTCCTTAAGACAATATTTTTCCATGGTGAAGTCAGATAGCATAGCACTATTTATTTTGTCACAAGAATGATGTCGTATTTATTCATACATTTCTTTAAAAGATGTTGGAACAGTACAAAATATTAATATATCTTATTCAAATGACTATTTGTTGTTAAGCCTCAGGTGCACAGTATTAATCATGAACCACATATATATTGCTGAACTGTATTTTATGCATTTGGATTTCGTCGTTTAAAATTTTTTGAGTAAAGAATATGTTAATTATATATGAAATGTTAGATTTAGATATTTATATATCTTAAGCATGACAATATGTTAAATATATGATTTTTAAATTATGTATGGTTATGATGGCTCAGCCCAATTCATTTGATTTTGAGAAACAATCATTCTTGTAAAAGTAAAGAATTGAAAATTATTTTCTTTTTCTAGATTGTCCTTTGTGGAGGGGCTTCTCGAATGCCAAGGCTACAGCAACTGATTAAAGATCTTTTCCCAGCTGTTGACCTTCTCAATTCTATCCCTCCTGATGAGGTCATCCCTATTGGTGCAGCTATAGAAGCAGGAATTCTTATTGGGAAAGAAAATGTATTAATGGAGGACTCTCTAATGATAGAGTGTTCAGCCAAAGATATTTTAGTTAAGGTATGTGTAGCTTTTCTGTGCATTGTCATACAAATTAATCAACATAAGTTTTCATATATACCATGTTTTTACGATAAAACTTTGTTATACTGGTAAAGATTTTAAATTTAGGTTTATAGTTTTATTTTTAATAAGTTTCTTATATTCTTTTAATATTTATCTAGCAGTTGATTTCTTTGGAAAGTGAAATAATCATAAGCTTCTAATATTTCTTTTTTTTAATATTTATTTTTCAATTGTAGTTGGACACATGCCTTTGTCTTATTTATTTATTTATTTGTATGTGGTGCTGAGAATAGAACCCAGGGTCTCGCACATGCTAGGCACACGCTCTACCACTGAGCCACAACCCCAGCCCCAAGCTTCTAATATTTCAGTGTATTTTTTTAAACAAAGTGGGATGGAATTAATTTATATTCTTCTCATCATAAAGAAAAATATCAAAAGGTATGCATCTTATTTTCTTTCTTACAGGGAGTGGATGAGTCAGGAGCCAACAGATTCACAGTACTCTTTCCATCAGGGACTCCTTTGCCAGCTCGAAGACAGCACACATTACAAGCCCCTGGAGATATATCTTCTGTATGCCTGGAACTCTATGAGTCTGAGGGGAAGAACTGTGCAAAAGAGGAATCCAAGTTTGCCCAGGTGAATACGTAAAATTAGACTGTGACTTAGTCATATGCAATTGTTCAGCTTTTCCTTCAGTATTAGATTCAGTTTAATATCTCAATTAATACAAAAATTACATAGGATATCTAACCCTTGTTTATGAATGAATTGCTTCTACTTAACTCATTATTAGATGAAGGAAGAAATAGTGATTTTAATTTGAAAAAGTATGGAAAAATAAAAACAAAATGCAGTTTGTATTTTTACTGCTTCTCTGTTCATGATCTTAGCTCACCTTGGTATTAGGAACTAGAAGAGGAACAGAACACTTTTTTGCTTGCTCACTGTACCTGGCAATCCATTCATAAACAAGTGTTAGGTGTTCTTTGTCCTATGGTTACAAAGTGCACCCACCACTCTTGTAATCCCAGCAATTTAGGAGGCTGAGGCAGGAAGATCGAAAGTTCAAAGCCAGCCTTAGCCTCAACAACTTAGTGAAACCCTGTCTTAAAATAAAAGATACAAGAATTGGGGATGTGTCTGAGTGGTAAGTGCTCCTGGGTTCACTTCCTGGTACTAAATAAATAAATAAATAAATAATGAAAAAACTATGCATAGCATACCTGGGCTGCACCTCAGACTTACCAATTTGGCACCTGCTGGTAAAGGTTTCAAAGCTCCTCTGATAATTCTGCTGTATAGATAGAAGCACTTTCCTATAAACTAGGTCTCTAATCTCTGATGATACTTTTTAGTATCCCCCTTAGGGGCGCTCTCTCACTCCTTATCTTTCCTTTCACAATCAACTGGAGACTCCACAGCTGCTGTCACTATCTAACTTAAAGATGCTAGATGGAGAAGTGTTGGTTAGTAATGCTGAACCTGGAAGATAATCTTTCAGTATTTCCACCTGTTCTAATCTTTTCTTTTTACAAATGAGTAAAACAAGGTAGTGACTTACTTTGGTCATTATACTTGATCTTGGCAAAGTCTGACAAGTAGCTCAGTGGCAGAGCACTTGCCTTGCAAGCATGGGGCACTGGGTTCAATCCTCAGCAATGCATAAAAAATAAATAAATAAAGATATTGCGTCCATCTACAACTAAAAAAATTTTTTTAAAAATAGTACTCTGTATTTTCTGAGATAAACTACTTCTTATAAACAGTCATTTAATCTGGATACTAAAGAGGGACAAATACATTAGGTGTCTTATATGTCCTCCATCTGAAGTAGATATTTCCAGTAATAAAGCTTAACTGTTATTCTTTGAATTCTGTTTAAATGTTAGGAGAGAGCTAGGGATGTGGCTCAAGCGGTAGCATGCTCGCCTGGCATGCGTGTGGCCCAGGTTCGATCCTCAGCACCACATACAACAAAGATGTTGTGTCCGCCAATAACTAAAAAATAAATATAAAAAAAAAAATGTTAGGAGAATTGGAAACTGTCTTATTTTAAAAGATTTGTTTCAGTAAAAAGTAAAATTTGTCCTTTGTAATAATTGGTGCATCAGTTCATTAATATGTCAAAGTTTTGAATTATCTTTGTCTTATTTTTGCATAAACAGGTTGTACTCCAGGATTTAGATAAAAAAGAGAATGGATTACGTGATATATTAGCTGTTCTTACTATGAAAAGGTACAAAATTAGATTTCTTCTAATGTTAAGACAATTCATTTTGAAACTTGACCCCTTTTGTGAGTTTATTGATTTTTCAACCATTGTCATTCTAGGCAAATCATTATTAAAAACTTAGAAAGATTGTTGTCAGTTAATCAAATTTTTCAACTTGGACTTAGTGTATTTTACAGAAAAGAGCTTATCTCAAGACATTGGTTTGCATTATAAATATTTTATGAATTCTTTAAGTATAGTCAGTCTAAATATTTAATCTGTGGTAATTGGAGATACAATTTTTTTTTCAATTTTCAATTTTCAATGTAATTTTTTAAGGTTTATATCTTGACATTCTTTGCCATATGAATAGATAAGTATGTTCCATTATTACTATAGTAAAGCTCTAGGAAAGAAATTACTAATTAAATTTAGCTGAAGACACTAAAATTGTGTTTATTCTTAATAATCCTCTTTCAAAAATTTAAATTAAATTTAAATTTAAATTCTTGTTTACTCCGAGTCCTCAAGTAACTTCTTAAGGACTTTCTGTTTTTATAAAATGAGATTTTAAAATATTATTCATTTTTTTGTTTGTTTAGGGATGGATCTTTACATGTGACATGCACAGATCAAGAGACTGGAAAATGTGAAGCGATCACTATCGAGGTTGCATCTTAGTGTTTTAGATAACCCAAGCCTTTTTTAGAACTAGAATATCAATATTTCTTGGTTTTGTGTATAAGCAATGTTTATATTAAAATACTTTTCCAGTAAACATATGTCATGTTTATTAAATTAAAATATGGTTGCAGTCTTTTTGTTTTATTTTTCATGTAAGATCAGCTAGTATTCATGGTAAATAGAGGATTTTTGATTATGAAGCTCTTTATAATTAAACAAAATTGGTTGAAGGAAATTTTATTGGAAATTTTGCATGATGTTTTAAAAATTTTTATACTTCTATGACTTCTAAATTTAAAAGGGTTTTATTGATTTTTGATAGATAATTAAGAGAACAAATAAAAGTCCTTTATATTAATTGAAAAAATTCAAGAAACATATGCAAAGTTAAGATACCAATATGGGCACATAGTACATTGGGTACAGCTCATGAGATCTTGAGTTCAGTTTCCAGCACCAATAAGTAATAAAGTTGAGGCTGTTTTGTTGTTATGGTGTTTTTTTTTTTTTTAAAACAGTACTGAATATCAAATCCAGGGCCTTGCAAGATATCACTTTTGTTAAAAAAAGTAAACTCAACAGTTGTGTATCAATGTGTAGTGTGTGTGTACACGTACACCACATGTGCATACATACATAGAAAAGAAGTCTAGAAGGCTAAAGACCAAATATTGTAGCTTTGATAGAGGGAAATATGGAGAGAGTTTTTATCTTCCTTTGTTACAATTTGTTAATTTTTTCCCCTCCAACAAACATCTTTTTCTTCTGAATTTAAAATATTAATATCACGTTTTTGATATCTCATCTTAATGTAAATGCATTAAGTCAGTAAATGCATCTTTTGCATATTTTATGGCTTAGGCATACAGTAGAAAAGGACAGGAATACCACTGTTTCTGACTTGACTTGTCCCTCGTTATTAAGTATTCTGATGCATTATGAAATACTTTCAAATTTCCTTGCACTTCAGGTGATAATTTTTTATTCTGAATTTGTAAAAGATATGCCAACTAAATTTTCTAATGGTTTTTAAAAAAACTTTAAGGTAAAAATAGCTTTAACTTTTCTCTCTGTAAAAATGTATTGATATGTATTTATTATAAAATTAATATTAAAAACTAGAATGGAAAGCATATTCCACCACCCATGAATTTCCCATTTATCTCTGCTTTGTCATGTATATTTAAATACTTGAACACTTGTCAGCAAAAGTTTATGTCTAATTATAATGTTGCCTGTTTGCATGTCTGATGTCTGGAGGAGAGAACTAACTATAATGGTGAAGATGTTGGGAGTTGTTGTGATATGAGCTGCTATAATCCATAGCATAACCCTAGACTGGGTGGCCTAGGAGCAGCAGAAAATTATTTCTCATGTTCTGGAGTATGGAAGTCTGAGGTTAGAGTGCTTGCATCTTCGAGTTCTAGGGAGGGTTTCATTTTTGGTTGCAAACCACTGACATCTCATACCCAAACATGAAGTACAGAAGGCAAGAGAATTCCCAAGATCTCCTACAATGCTAACCCCATTCATGAGGATTCTACCCAGCATGACCAAAACAGCTCCCAAAGGCCTGCTTCCTAATGCCAATACATAGGGATCTGGCTTTCAACATTTGATTTTGAGATAGGGAACACAAAATATTCACTCCATAAAAGAAGGCCACAAAATGTTCCATTATGAGCTGGCAGCTTTTACATATGTAAGAATTCCTAATAAAGTATCACAGAACAAAACAAGTTCTACAGACATCTAAAGTGACAATGAGTCACCACGGTAACATTTACACACTGCATATACTGTGATTTACTTGCTTTAATAATCTCATTTAAAATTTTGATCTTGCCATAGCTTCATAATATGTAGAAAGTAATATGAGGAATGTTATTTGTTTTCTAGATCTGAAATCGATTTAAAGAAATTATTCAATGTCTCATAGTAAATAAATGGTGAATTTTGAATTAATATTCACACACTGATATTTTAAACTTAATTTTTCTTGACTATCTTAAGTATATTAAATGCATTACTTTACTTAAATTCACATTTTTAATCCATTGTTCATTGTACTGTTTTAATCTGATCTCAGAGAACATTTACTAATTTGAAAGAGTATGGATCACCCAAAATCATGTTTTAAAGTGGTTTTTATGAAAAATTGGGACAGCAGGGTAATTTGGCACTTTTCTCTTGAAGATACAGGTATGTGACTCTCAGATGCTTCTGATTTCCTTCTCTATTCCTTTATAGCTGGGATTTACGAAGAGTCTCAAATATTTTGGTCCCAGAAACTTTTGCACTTAAACATTTTTGAGTTCAGGCATATTGTGGCTTGCACGTATAGTCCCAGCTACTTAGGTGACTGAGAGGGAGAACCCCTTGTGGCCAGGAGTTTGGGACCAGCCTGGGCAATATAGAAAGACCTCATCTGAAAAAAAAAATAAAAAAAAAAGAAAGAAAATTTACTGAGATTCTGAGTTTTTGAACTTTTATTTATAATACACTGAGAGATATGGAAAGAGATTTTATAAACTTATACGTATGTATAGTTACATAACTATATACACTTATCTGTCATATAGAAATATAAACCCATTATTTAAATAAAAAGGTTAACTCTTGCCAGGGTGATGGCAGCACACCTGTGATCCTTGCCACTCAAGAGACTGAGACCAGAGGATCTCAAGTTCACAGCCAGCCACAGCAACTTAGACCCTGGGGTTGTATGTAGTAAAGGGCCCCTAGGTTCGATTCATAGTAGCCCCCCCTCCCCTTCCTTAACTGTTAACATGAATAACATTTTAATGAAAAATACCTATCTAAAAAGTAGTGGCAACAGTGGTGGTCTATATTTTTTCAAATCTCTTTAATGTCTGGTTTAATAGAAGATAGCTATATTCTGATATTTGCTTTCTTCCATCAGTATTTTGCAATATCCAATTTGTGTAATAAACTCTGGAAAACTCCACTGTATACTTATGAGAGAAGGAAAATAAAAAAGTCAGATAACACATTGGTATCATTATGAAAATAATCATGTGTCACTTTGATAAGGACACATTCTCAGAAATTCTTTGGCAATTTGTCATTTTATGAATATCATAGAGTACTTACACAAATGAAACGGCTACAATGTCACTGAGTTAAACAATCACACAGGCAGGCTGGGGTTGTTGTGGCTTAATGGTAGAGTGCTTGTCTAGCATGTGTGACACACTTGATTAGATTGTCAGGGTCGCATAAACAAATAAAATAAAGATCATTCATTGACAACTAAAAAAATATATTAAAAAAAAACAGAACAACATTGTGGCTGTGGTTGATTGTTATGTGGTGGGTGACAACTTTTGAGCTCATAAGCCTCCTGGATCTTCCTACCATACCTTTAAAAATGGTTTTTCTAGATAGTAGACATGGTGGTGAATATTAAAGAGAAAATACCTACTCTGCCCTGGAATTAAGAAGATTCAAGACTAGGGAAACAAAGGAAACTTAATTTACAAAATACTACAATATATTCATTCTGTATTTTTTTTTTTTTGGTGTTGGATATGGAACACAGGGCTTCACACATACTAGGCAATTTGTCGTACCTCTAGGGTACACCCCCAACCTTAATTCTGTAAAGTTTTACTAAAATTTATAAAGAACAAAAAAGATAATTAGATAATTAATTACAGATAATTAATTACAAGATAATTACAGATTTTGATAAGTGCTTTTAAGTATCTAAAGAAGAGATGAAGTGCTATGTCAAACAGGGTGAACATAGGAGGCCCTTCTGGAGAAGTGACTGAAACCCAAGTGATAAGAAGATAGTCATGTGAAGAAGAGGAGAAAAGTATACCTTAAACTAGGAAGTAATTTTGAGATGACTTAAATTATTTATTTACTTGTTTATTATCTGCCCCTCCCACTAGGAAACAGGCTCCAAAAAGACAGTGTTTACCTTTTTTTAATATTTATATTTTAGTTTTAGGTAGACACAATGTCTTTATTTTACATTTATGTGGTGCTGAAGATCAAACCCAGTGCCCCACGCATACTAAGCGAGCATGCTACCACTGAGCCACAACCCCAGCCCCACTGTTTACCTTTTATGTCCACTGCTACATTCCCAGAACCAAGCAGGTGCATAGAACAGGAGACGCACAAAGAAAGATTTCTGAACGAGTAGTGAGTATGTAAAGGGGTGTCCCAGAGAAACTAAGGGGAGAGTGGAACAAAGTAAGGTTAGAGAACCAGTTCCAATCACAGGAGGCCCTGAGGCCACCAGAAGTTTGAGTTTTATTCTAGTTGTGTTGGAAAGTCTTTAAAGTAAGAAAGGGCATTTTCCACTTTGTTTCAGATCACTTTTCACTGGATGTAAAGTGGATTGGGAGGGGAGCTTAGTGGAACTGAAGCCAGTTTGGATTGTAAAGGACTTCTGCTCAGGGCACTAGGTGGGTACTGTGGAGATAGCATTGACTCAACTTGCTAATGGGATTATAGACACTTCCTGACTTATGATGGTTCTAATGACAAGTTTTCATTTTTATAAGAGTGTGAAAGTGATACTTATTTAGTAGAAACCCTATCCTACTTCAAATTTTGAATTTTGATCTTTTCCTAAGCTAGTGATAGGTATATAATACTTTTCATGACTCTGGCAACAGTGGGACCTAACAGCTCCCAGTGAGCCATAAGATCATGAGGGTAAACTACAGTGTGCTGTGTTGCTAAACCATGGTGTTTGGTAGCTTAAGTGTATTGAATGCATTTTTTTTACTTAATACGTTTTCAATGTACAATGGGTTTATTGAGATATAACCTGATCATAAGTCAAGGTACAACTGTGATTTGGAGAGTAAGGAGGGAGTGAATCAAGATGACACCTAGATTAGTTTAACAATACCTGAATAACAGTGGTGCCAATGAGTTGCTATAAGAAACCCTGTGGAGCCTGGAGTAGAGGTAATGAGCTATGGCAGCAAAAATAATTTCAAGTGGAATGTATTCAATTTGAAATTTATGTCACACCTGAGTGGACATGTCCATTAAGCATTGTGGATACTCAAGTCTGGAAGTGAGGGCAGAGCTCAGCACTAGAGACTAAAAGTTGGGAATCTGAAGCATAAAAATGATGTTTCAACCAGCTAGTGTTAAGATTTCTCTGCCAGCTTTAAGAGAAATGTGGTCCCACAGCCAAGTTCTGGGAGTGCCTAATGTTTGGGTTGGGTAGAGGAAGGCTAGCTGAAAAGGTAACAGCAGAGAATTCTGTGGATAAAAGGAGGACCAAGAAAGAGGTGGAGTAGTGATGTGTGCTCATGGTCTGCTATGAGATCACAGGAGGGGCACTGAGTATAACTGGGGAGGGCAGAGGGAAAGAAGGCCTTGGGAAGGAGAGGAGGCTTCATCCAAGTCTTAGAGGGTCTATAGAAGTATCCTAGCAATGTCCTTGTATAGGGCTTATAGGACCTTTTATTCCTTCTTACCAAGGTAATGAGATACTCATAGAAAAGTATGAGTATCAGGCATGGTGCTGTTTGCCTTTGAACTCAGGATCCTCCTGCCTCAGCTTCCCATGGGCTCCGGAAGCTGAGGCAGGAGGATCCTGAGTTCAAAGCCAGCCTCAGCAACAGCAAGGTCCTAAGCATCTTAGTGACACCCTGTCTCTAAATAAAATAAAAAATAATGCTGAGAATGTGGCTCATTGGTCAAGTACCCCTGAGTTCAATCCCTGGAACTGGGAAAAAGGAAAAAAGAAAAACAGTTAAATTTGTAAAAATGAGCAATTAAACCAAATCAATTCATAAGGATTTTATATTTTGTTCTTTCCCTATACTTTTTTGGTACACAGTTGAAAAGGCTGAATGTTTTCTCTGATATGTGGATATTAACTCACAATAAGAGGTAGTGGTGAAGGTACTTTGGATTAGACAGAGGGGAGTGAAAGAAAGGGAGGGGGTATGGGGTAGGTATAATAGTAGAATAAATAGGACATTATTATCCTATGGGCATGTAAGATTACGGGACCTGTGTAACTCTGCATCACGTACAAACAGAAGAATGAGAAGTTATACTTCCTTTATGTATGTTGTATCAAAATGCATCTTATTGTCATGAATAACTAGAACAAAAAAAATTTTAAAACAATAAACATCTCAGGTGGCTAAGCAGTATTTCATAATAGAATGAGTTAAGCATGTCTTTAGTGTTCTTCATTTATTTCCAATTTATAAATATCACGTTTTGAAAACTAATTTTTCACATGGTTCTTTAAAAATCCTTGGTAGCTATCAGATGGCTGTCTGCAAATTTTTCTCAATTTTCTCTTAAGATTTTTGCTTTATTTAGAATAATCACTATGGGTGCGGAGTGAAGGATGATGGATGGGATCAGGGTAGGAATGGGGTCGAGGGTGTGGGACCAGTTTGGAGTTCCTGGAGTCATCCTGCAGTCTTGCTACCACAGTGTGGCACACCCAGGCTCCCCCAACAGCATCAGATAGAGCCTGGGAGCTTGTCAGAAATGCAGAAACTCAGGTCCTATTCCAGACCTACTGAATTTGAATTTGCATTACAACTAACCTCCTCAGATGATTCATACGTGAGCAGATCTGATCAAATCAGGTGTTCAAAATGTGCTGCACATTAGAATCATCTAGGGAACTTTCAAATAGATGCACACTGTCCTGGCCATGTGCTACACTAATTAATCAGAATCTTTGCGAGTGGACCAAGCAGATAAACCTCTCCTAATGATACTAACATGCGACCAATTTTGAGACCGAGTGCTCCTGCAGAAAGGAAGGAAATGGAACAGCGCTTAATTGGGCTCAGCTGTGTGAGGTACACGACGTGAGAGCTTCTTCACACCATAAAGTCGCGCTGCACGTTTTGGATGTGTAGCGTGCACGCAGTGCCTGTATAAAGTGGCTCAAAAGCGCAGCGTGGGAAGGGCTGGCGGATTTGTTCCCTAATCTAGGAGCGAATCTGGACTAGGAGGTAGGGGTCGGCCGCGCCTACCCGGTGTAGGGTTCGCCCCGCCCCACCTCACTCGGGCCTTGGGGCGCAGGCGCGCAAACCGCTGCGGCCGGGGTCGGCCTGTGTGACGTCAGGACGCCTCGCTGGTTCCATGGCCCCAGTCTCGGCCCCCAAGTCCCGGGCGAGGGCGGGGCGTCTGGCCAGCTGAGCTATTCCGTCAGACCGCGCCAGTTTGAATGAATGTTCCACAAGATGGCGGCAGCTGAGGCCGACGCGCGAGGAGGTGAGGCTGGAGCGCGGTCCCCCGCCCTGCCGGTTCCCAGGCACGCTCCCGAAGCCAGGGTAGCCAGGCCGTCCCGCCGGACAGCAGGACGGCGACGTGGCGGGACACCGCCCGCTGACACACTGACCCCAGAATGCGCGCTGCAGGCGCCTACTTTCCCCGCTGGCCGCTACCCTCCTCCCGTCCGGCCCGCAGTCCACTGGGTCTCGCCTGCCCGCACTGGGGTGGGCGCTGCGCGAGCCTGGACGCACCGGTCTACGGAGCGGCGTCTCCCACCACAGCCCTGCGCCCTCGGCGCCCTCGCGTTGCCGCAGCGGTCCCCGAGGTCCCGGGTTCCAGGTGCCGGGGGCACGGCTGCACTGAGCTCCTTTGTCGTGGTGGGAGCGGGGCGCGCGATGTGCACGCTGGCCTTTAAGTGGCAAGCGGGAAACTGCAGTCTCTGGTGTGATCGTGACCTCGGTATCCGGGGTGCGGGGGTGGGAAGAAATTGGGGCTGAAGGGTGGTAAGGGAGAAAGCGAGGCTCCCTACAGTGCGGACACCTTAGGGGGTTCCACTCGTTGGAGAATCTCCTTGAAAGCGGGCATTTGAGGATGCAACCTCTGGCTTTTTGCAACTTTCCTGCCCACCAGGATTTGCGTGTTATTTTTGTGGACACTGAGAAATTAGCGCGCGTGCGTGCGTGTGTGTGCGCGTGCGTGCGTGAGTGCATGTGTTTGCATGTATGTCGCGCGCCCTTTGAAAGCCTGGAACTTTGAATGCAGTCTGCAATTTAAAGGTGTTTCAAGTTCTGCTCCTTGCAGTTTGTGACATTATTAAACCTGAACTCTACTTCCTTTAAGAATGGCGGGGGTTACTATAACTCGTGGAAGGATTTTTTTTTTTTTTTTGGATGGTAATACAATATTTATCTGGCCAACGAAATCTTTTTCTCCATTATTATAGGCTGCCATTCCCCCTTTATAAATCAGTACTTTGCAGTTTTTTACTCTTAAATGTTTTTAAATTCTCAAATTCATAATGTCCATCGAGATTTCTGTTTGGAATCCTCAATTTGGTATCAGAAACAGGAGACAAACACGTTGTGTACATAACTAGTAGGAACCTCCTTTGTAAGTGATCAGCACAATGAGATGAACCTTACCCAAAACATCCTCAAGAGTTTTAAATGGAAACGGAAGGGATTTATGTACCATCACTCCAAAGCAATTAATGTCTTTCCTCAAATTTGGTGGATTTTCTTTGTTGTTTTGTTTTGGGTGCTGGGGATTTAACTCCGGGGGCATCTTATCACTGAGCTACATCCCCAGCCCTCTTTATGGTTTATTTTGAGACAGGGTCTTGCTAACTTGCCCAGGCCAGTCTTGAACTTGGGATTCTCCTGTCTCAACCTCCCGAGCAGCTGAGATTATAGGTGTGCACCACGGAGTCCAGTCTTTTCCTTTGGGTTAGAATTATGAATTTTTGGCAGGGAGTGGTGAAAATTGTGCTGATATCTGACAAGTTCCTCTGTGAATTGGGGAGGGTGTGTCTTTAATGTTAAAAAAGTTAGAGCAGCAGTGTTCTCTCTTCCCTGGAATTTACCTCAAAACACCAAAGGTTATGCTACTACCTTGGAGAGCTACCAAGTAAAGCTTGAGTTAATGATAAATTTTGTTTGATAACCCCAGTTTTCTCCACTCCTGACACTTTTTTTTCACATTGACACAGAGAAAGATTGAGACTTCCCTGAAGTCATGTAGTTAGTTGCTCCACGAAGGGATAAGGGCAGGGGACTCTTGGTCCATCTAGTGTTTACCATCATGGTAGCTATAAAACTGTTTACTAATTTTTTTTCTAAATATCAGTTTGTGTGATATTTTACATTCTTTGTGGAAGCATACTGTTTACAGAAATTTGAAGGTAAAATCACAACACAATTAGTTTCTGGCTTCTGTAAAGTTGATTATGTCTGATGCTCAGTTGGGTATGTGGATTTACACAAATTGAATACTTGGTGCTTTCTGATGCTCAACTTTAAAAAATGCAGAAAATAAGTATCACAAACATCAGTATACTTTCCATTTATAGATTGTAATCCTTGGTTTTATTCATTTTGATAACACACCATGGGGCAAAATACTAAGTGGAGTTAAAATTTCATGTAATATTCCAGAGTGGGAAAAGTAGGACATATATGTTTGCAATTATAGAACTAGATTTCAGTTAGAGTTCAGTTATTGTCCAATTAAAAGAAATGAAAGTTACTTTTTAACCAATTATAATTGCATTTTAAAATCTATTGGATACATTTGTAATCTTAGACATACTTATTTTCACTGTTTTATTAAACAGCAATTAAAATTTTATGTAAACAGAAAAGTCAAATATTATCTGTTAATGTTTGCATTTATGTGTAATCTTAAAGTTTACAGACATGAAACATTTTGTTCATGGCTTAGCAGAAATTGATGTCAGTTAATCATGGTAGGATCGAAATCCATGAGAAAAATCTAAGAAGACCACTTTGCCAAAATACTTCTTTAATGTTTTACTTCAAAACACATAACTGATTTCTTGTCATATGGATTTTTAGGCTATAAAATTGCCAGTTGAAGGGTGGGAATGTAGAGGTTTAAAGTTTCTCTTTTTTGTTTTAATTGAGTAGCTATTTCATTGGTAAAGAATTGTATTTTCTTATTGTAGCTTGGTGTGTGCCTTGCCTAGTTTCACTTGATACTCTTCAGGAATATTGTAGAAAAGAAAAGCTCACATGTAAATCGATTGGAATCACCAAAAGGAATCTAAACAATTATGAGGTGGAATACTTGTGTGACTACAAGGTATTAAAGGTAAGGCAAATATCTAGCTCCTTAAGAGACTTAATCACACTTTAGTGTTTCCTATTTCTGTAGCATAAAAGATCCTTAAAAGTAAACAAAGCTCTTCTTAATGTTTAAAACATACCATGATAAATTATATGTCCTGTCATCTATATTGCCAAGTAACACTGAGAGGATTTTGAAGCATAGTGTGTTCTTGCACTAGAATATTTTAAGGTGCTTATACCATTCTACATCCAGTTCTTGATTATCTCCAGGTGGATTACCAGAACAAATGTTTTGCTCAAATTGGCTTTTCCTGCTATTCTTTTTATTCTTGGATAATATTTGCCCACTATCACTTAAAATGAAGTTCCAAACCAATTTTAGTGTTACTGAATCTCCTCAAGAAGCATCACCATTTGTGTTTCCTGCCATGATGCCAAACCCCTAGATATTATATGGTTCTATAGTGTAGTAGAATTGCCTGGATTTCAGTCATTTTGGGTCTTCATTTAGTACCTAAGAATGTTAGAAAACTCATTTGACTTCTCTGAGATTCTTTTGATTCCTCTTAAAAATAAGTTGTTCTTCTGAGACACTTTTTTATTCTAAACTTAAATTTTTTGCAGTTCTTGGAGTCAAACCCAAGGTCTTACATGTTAATCAAGTGCTGACTGTGCTAAGCTACACTTGGCCCCTAAACCTTATCATTATATTTTTGAATAATTTATCTATAGCTTACATCTGAGAAAGAACTCTATTCTGGTTATTAATCATTTCTTTCAGAAAAATGAATCAGAAATCTTGCTTTAAATTCTTTGCTTTTGCTTCTCCTTAATTTATGCTGAATCAGTCACTAAATCCAGTTCTTCCATCTTCTTTGGTGCCACTGCCTTCTCCCCTTAGTGGAATCTTATCAAACATTACACCTACACACTCATCATCCTTCTACCCTTGAAACAGCCCAACCATTTGCCATCTCAGTTTACAAGCTCTGAACTGACCTGTCTAGCTGAGAGTGTCATATACGCATGCATATCAACTCCATTAAAACATTCTTATATTGCTCAGTTCTCCTTGGTAGACTTTTGTCTATTGCTTTCTTATTAATATCAGCTGTTTCCCCACTTTTTAAAAAATATTTATTTTTTAGTTGTAGATGGACACAATATACTTTATTTTATGTGGTGCTGAGGATTGACCCAGGGCCTCACACACGCTAGGCGAGAGCTCTACCACTGAGCCATGACCCCAGCCCTGTTTCCCCACTTTTATTACTTTTCTGGACTTCTCTTTTATTACTTTTCTTGCCCTTACTCTTTCATGTGACTGAAGACTTCTACCTCAATGAAAAATAAGATCCTTCAAGTCTGAACTCGGTTTACCTTCACCATTAGTTATCTGTGTCTTCACTCATTCTTCTGTTCAAAAGTGTCATCATGTTTATTATTCCTTCCTGTCCACCCTTCTAGAATTTTGCCTAATCTGCAGTGTCCTTTCTATATCAAGCTCTCTTTTCACTGATTTTTCTCAGTCAATAAATATATTAAGATCTTCTCTAACCTTCAGAAATCTTCCTTTGACTTTGCGTCCACACTCATACAAGTATTTTTCTCTATTTTCCTTCTTCACTTCCCATTCATTTTCTTAATATATTCATTCATTTATTTGTTTGTATGTGGTGCTGAGGATTGAACACAGTGCCTCACATGTGCGAAACAAGTGCTGTACCACTGAGCTACAACCCTAGCCCCCCATTCAACAGATTTGTTAGATATAAATAGCATATCATCATACAGTTTTTCTATTTAAAGTGTGTAATTCAAATCTTTTGGTTTACTCACAATTTTAGAACATTTTTTTATTACCCTGAAGAGAAACCCTAGACCCCATAGTTATTACCTCCCAAATCTCTTCAATTACCTTTTCACTGCATCTCTAGGGATCCACTAAATGTATTTTCTGTCTCTATAGATTTACCCATTTGGACCTTTCATTAAAAAAGGAATCATAATATGTGTTTTTCTTGTGATTGACTTCTCTCACTTAGCATAATGTTTTTAGGTTCCTACATATTGTGGCATGTATCAGTATTATATGGGTGTATCATATTTAATTTATATATACATACTTGATGGATATTTGGGTTGTTTCCACTTGGAGACTGTTATAAATAATTCTACCATGAACATTCATGTATAAGTTTTCATTTCTCTTGGAATGGAATTGCTAAGTCAAATTATTTCTGTGTTGAACCATTTAAGGAGCTCTCTAATCCCCACAAATCCTAAAGCTCTACATTACTTTACTTTTCCCTCAGCAGTGTATAAGAGTTTCAATTTCTCTGCGTCTTTACCACTATTACTGTTATTGGACTTTTAAAAATTATTACTATCTTAGTGGATGTGAGATACATCTCATTGTGACTCCATTTGCCTTTCTTTTACAGCTAATGATATTATCGGCCAATTGTATATCTTCTGTGGAGAACTATTCAGATCCTTTGCTCATTCAAAAAAATGGGTTGTCTTATTGAGTTGTGATTTTTCTTTATATTCTGGATACAAGTTGCTTTCAGTTATATGATTGCAAAGTTTGTCTTCCATCCTGTGAGTTGTCTTTTCATTTTTCCATTACTTTTTAAACTCATTTTATTCTGATATGTACCCCTTGCAATTGACTCTCTAATTACTAACTTTGAAGACCTCAAATCTTACTATATTACTTTGCCATATTTAACACCACTGTCTACTTTTTCTGCTTTAAAACTCTTGTCTAAAAAAGATTGCTTAGGTTCAAATTCCGATTCTGTCATTTATTGTGGTGTTCGTCAAGTTAGAGCGTTTCTGTCCTTCATTTTGTTCATCTTTGAAATGAGGATAGTTATAGTACCCGACTTAGCATAATTAACATTAAATGAATTAATGTAGATTGCTTAGAACAGACTGACATTTACTTTAAGTAGTAATACTATGTCATTATTTGTCATTGATGTCTCTATTCCCACTCCTTTTTTCCACTCATTTTTTTTCTTTCATTCAGTGTTCTTTAGGAATCTCTTTTGCCATCTCTATCCATCCGTCCTCTGAAATATAGATGATCTCCAAGGCTCTAATGTTGGCCTTCTTCTTACCTTATAGTTGCTCTCTGGGTGACCTCTTTCCCAGTGGTTTAGATCTTGACTCTTGAATCTTTCAGAGGCCTCGACTCCATTCCAGACATCATTTCAAATTGCATACCCTACAGGTACCCAAGTTTAATATACTTAAAACTACCCTTGTTCCTCCCTCAAATCTGCATCTTGTGCTGGTGGTCCTTGTCTTCATTAACCCTAAATACTTTTGGGTACTTAACTTTAATTTCATATTTTAATTCTTCCCTTTCCTCTTACCCTCTAAATCTAATAAGTGATCAGATTGTGTTTCCTCCATCTCTGTCTTTTTCTGTTCATTTCTGTTACAATTCCACAGAAAGAATAGATTGCCTAGGGAGTCTATGCTTCTATTGGTGCCACCAAGATTCATTCTTGCACAGAATTGAGTGCTCTAGTGCAGTTTCAGATAGGTTTTTTTGCTGTTTAGTTTCTCCTTAACTCTTTCTCATTAGTCCATCTGGTTTCTTTATTAGTCCACCATATTTGCTCATTTGTGTTCTCAACACCTCACTAATATTCCACAGTCTTCTACCTACCACATATTTTAAATATATGTGCCAGTATTACTTTAACTTACTTCCACTTTTTTCTTCTCCTCCTCTCTCTCTCTCATATATTCAGGGTAAGTGAAAGAAGTTATAACCCTGTCCTTTTCCTGTGTGGCTTCTTCCACTTAGCTCATGGAAGACACTATCTCAGTACCATATTCAGCAGTGCCATTTCAATTGTTTCTTAAACCCAGCTCTCATTGTTTTAGACCTTTTAATGGTTTCTTGTTGCTTACCAGTTTAGTCTGAGACAAATACTTGTACATTGTCTCATCTAGCTAAGATTTACTGAGCACCTACTACAAGCCAGGCACTGTTCTAATCATTGTAAACACAGCTTAAAAGCAGACATAGCTTATATTCTTTGAATACTTTCTGCATGTTAGTGGCTTAGTCATTATGAGTTGAATTGTCTTACTTCAGTCATTTTTCCAATACCCACAATCACTGTTAGACCGGACCTTTTTAGTTTCATGCTTAAATTATAATAGCACTTTAAATTAGACTGTTTCCTAGTTCTTTTTCCCATAGACTCAACAAATTATGGTGTTTGAACATTTTTGTTTCTTTATGCTCTGTACTGCATTAGTCACCAGGAATATAAACATTAATAAGAAACAGTTATTAATTTTAAAGAATTTATAGCATATTAAGAAAGATTGTAAATGACCCATTGCAGTAAGGGCTATGGCAAACATCATTACAGTATCTCTTGAGGTACATGTAGATCACAGAAAGCTTCCCCCAAAAAATGATGTCCATGTACTATAATTCTATATAACTTCTGTCTAGAGAGTAATGTGGTAGGAAGTAGGAGTCGGAAAGAATAAAAAATAAGAAAGATATTTCAAACATCTTAAGGCAATGGGGACCCAATTGAAAAGTTCTAAAATGAGTGACATCAGATTTGTAATTCAGAGACTTTTTTTTTTTTACTACAGCCAGGAGAGTGAATTGGCAGAAGGGAGTAACACATGAATGACCACATATTCTAAATTTCTGTTGTAGGCAAGAAATGATAGTGCTTGAACTAAAGTATTAACCATGGCAATGAAGAGAGATCGTGAATTTTATTTTTTAGAATTTTTATTTATTTTGGTAAGATTGTAAAATTTTTACACCTGGTTTGTAGTTGGGGTGGTGAGGGTTGCAGTAAGAGAGCCATATATAGAAAATATAGGTTTCTTTCTTTTTTTTCCCCCAACTTTTTTTTTTAGTCATAAATGGACACAATACCTTTATTTTTATGTAGAGCTGAGGCTTGAACCCAGTACTTCCCCATGCAAGGCAAGCGCTCCACCACTGAGCTAGAATCCCAAGCTGAA